GTTCCCTGACAGGGTCAGACCAGGGGATGTCAGCACCAAGCACCCTGCATTCCCCATCCTCCAGGGACTGGCCTTGGGAACCCCAGGCCTTCACTGCCAGCGTTTTGGGAATCCTGCCTGAAAACGGGCCCTGCTGAGCCGGGTCAGCTCCCTGGACTGCCAGCTCCCAAAGCACAGCTTCCTGCAGCCCCTGCCATCCTGGCAGCAGTTTTGGGGTTTAAGCCCTTAAACTGTAAAACTGTGCTGGGAACCAGAGGGACCCGACGCCTCCGGAGGGTTCTTCCCCCCATCTCCTCAATGCCCCAGCCCGTGGTTTTCCTGTGGGGGCTGCCAGCCAGGGGGAGGGGACAGCTGCTGCTACAGACACCCAAACAGGCAACAGAAACTACACCGAGCCCTGGTTGAAGTGGGTCAAAAACTCACTTCCTCAGTACTGCAAAGCAGCAGAGCACCAGCGAGGACAAGCACCAGCGAGGCCTTCCCTGGTAGCAGGGGATGCGGAGGAGACAGCCCAGGGACAGCCCCAACTTCCACTGGGACCCCTCTCTTTGCCTTCAGAAGCCCATTTAGGTGCCAGGATTTGGCTCCCTGGGCTCGGGCTGCCTGGCATGGGTGGTGGGAGAGTGGGTGGCTCCTGCCCCAGGCCCCACATAAATCGGGGTGAGTGACGCTGACCGATGCCCTCACCCCCTCCCAAGCCCCCAGGGAAGGGTGCCAGCCCTGTCCCCAACTCCGGGCACACCCTGGGGACACCCACTCCCTTCCTCATCATCCTCCCCTGATGCTTCGTCCCGAATTGGAATAAAACGGCGTTACCTGCTGGGCCCAACTCGGCTTTTCCAGGAGTATTTAACTTTGCCAGTCCCTCCCGGGAACCAAACAAGCGGCTCAACCTCACCAATCTCGCAGCTTTGGCCGCCAAAGTTGCCTCTAGTCTTCTTATTTGTCACAGAACCGCCGTGCTAAGGCTCGGGAGAATCTTTATTTAGTGTTGCAGATGTCACCAAGGCACCGCAGATTGGAAATGAGTCCAAAGGATTAAGACGAGGTTATTAATTGGAGGCCTTCCCCTTTAAGAATGATTGACAGTTACTTTCTGGACAAGTAATTGCTCTAAATGTCCCCCCAGCACGGGTCCGGGGGGGCAGCGGCGGACAAAGCCCCGAACTGCCTTCCCCACTCGGATTGTCTCCCCACAAAGGCGTCCTGCTGGAGTTTGCCGTGTAATCCCCTCATTACGGGCGAGGAGAAAGAATTAGAAACAGGGGGAGCGGAGAAGAAAGGATGGAGGGGGAGGGGGCAGGATTTCCTTGGGCTGCGGAGGCGCTGCCCCAGGGATGGGGTCCGGGGCAGCGCCCCGAGCTCGGTGGGACGGGGATGATGCAGTGCTGGGGGTTGTCCCCCCGGGATGGGGATGATGCAGTGCTGGGGGTTGTCCCCCCGGGATGGGGATGATGCAGTGCTGGGGGTTGTCCCCCCGGGATGGGGATGATGCAGTGCTGGGGGTTGTCCCCCCGGGATGGGGAGGGGGAGGCTGGGGGTGGCCCCGTGGTGGGGGGGTGGCCCCACGGCTCCCAGTGATGATGCTGCCTGTGGAGCCCTGCCCCTGTGGGGAGCAGGGATGGGGATGGGTGTGGGGACAGGGATGGGGACCAGTCGTGGGGTCCAGCTGTGAGGACCCAGTGCAGGGACACTGTCTGGGGACCTGCTCTGGGGTCTGGGTGTGGACCCATGTGTGGGAACCTGGTGTAGGGACCAACCATAGGAACCAGGACCCCAGAGTGGCCTTGGGGACCTGGTATGGACACCAGGCAGGAGGAACACTCATGGGGACCAGAGCAGGGGACCAGGCAGGAGGGTGAAGCATGAGGAGCAGCCATGGGGCAGTGCCCATGGGACCAGGCGTGGGGATGATTCATGGACACAGGACTGAGGACCAAGGGCAGGCATGGGGACACCCTGTGGGGACTGACTGTGGGATGCAGCTATGGGGACCATCTCTGGGGGCTGTCCATGAGCCCTGGTCATGGGGGTGTGGGGGAAAGGCAGCCAGGTTGAGGGCTGCCTTTCTGCCTGATCACCATCCCTCTCCTCCCCGCTCCCACCACTGCCCCTGGACTCCAGCAGATGATGGGAACATCGTGCTGGGGGTCCTGGGGTTCTCCGGGGAGGATGTGTTTGGTGCTGCTCAGAACCTCCATCCCATGGGGCAGATTTTGCCCTTTTCTTTCTCTGTTCACTTTTACTTTCTCCCAAAAACCTCTTCCTGCCACCTGCGACTGCCGCAGCCCCCGCTCACGTCTCATCTTCCTCCCACTCCCTTCCCCTCCCCACCACAGTTCCCCTTTCAGATGGCAAACGTCACTGTGGGGGTGTTGGACCCCAGCACCCTGTGCTGGGTGGCTGCTGGCCCCACACGGGTCTGTGCCCTCTCCCTGGGGCTGCTGCTGGCAGGGCCCTGCAGCCCCCCCTGCATCCTGGTTCGGGCCCCAAGGCCACCTTGCTGTGCCCTGTTGGGGCTGTGCAGCTTCACCTGCCCCGTCTGACACTGCTCTGGGGACAGTGTGACACTGTCTTAGGGATGCCGCTCCCCTGGGGACAGTGTGCCACCCCCTCTGGGGACAGTGTGCCACCACACCCCAGGGACAGCGTGCCACCACACCCCAGGGACAGCGTGCCACCACCCCAAGCACAGGCCCCATCCAAGGAGTCCAGGGGGGCCACAGGGACAGGGTGACACTCCCACACCATACAGAGCTGCCGGGGGGTGCAGGGGAGTGCAGGGAGGTGCTGCCACTGGGGAGGTTTGGGGACATCCCCCCGCTCACAGGTGAGGTGTGAGGCTGGGGCTGCAAATGGGCACTGGACCCCACTGGCCCGGGTTCCCACGGTGGCCACTGTGACGAGTGCAGGGGCCGTGTCTCCCACACCAATGGCCCTTGTCAGCTTCCCCCGGGGTGCCCCACAGTCCAGGGGGTGCAGTGAGGTCCCAGGGGGCCGGTTTTGGGGCCGGGGTGGCTGCCCAGTTGCCCGGCCCCAGAGCTGTGGCCCACAGTGTGTGCGGTGCCGGCCCTGCGGCCGCCGTAAGGTGTTGGCTTGCCCGGGGGGAGGCAGCAGGCTGATTTGCCAAATGATTATAATTGCCTTTTAGGAGCAGATAGCAAATTGATTTGCTTCCTCGTCCAAGGCCCGTAATCGCTTCATCACTTTAAAATATTAATGCTATACTTCTTTGCTAGTTTCCCAATTACCCTAATTGAAGGCAAATTGGTTAAGAAGGTGCAATGCAGAGTATCAGGGGGTTTAGTTCACTCAAATGACAGTTTTAAACCTCCCTAATCCTATTAGCGCGCAAAGCTGCTAACGCTTAGAGACGCTGCGTCAGCTTACCGGGGCGGTGGGGCCGGAGGCGGGGGTCGGGCCGGGGGGCGACCGGGGGCCACCGGCCTCACGTGACCAGCTCGGCCGGGGATTTATCACTTTTTTAGTTCATTAAGAGGCCTTGGGCAGGCGGGGAGGCAGCAGGGGTGACCCAAAAGGGTGCTGAGCGGGAGGCAGGTGGCAGTGTGGGGAGGGCGGGGGGGCAGGACGATTAGCCAAGGAGACCTGGCGGAGGGTCCTGACCCGAATCCCAGCTGGCGCTGGGAGTCCCCACACAGCCCCACTGGGAGCACTGGGAGAGGGCTGCCCACCAGGGCAGGATGGGGCCCTGATGTGGAGTGGAGATGGAGGACTGTGGTGACAGAGCGCGCTGGGGACCTCAGTGCCACCATCCCAGCTGGCACTCGGTGTGGATCCCAGCCCTGGGGAGTGCAGGGACGTGGGGTGGGAACAGGGTTGTGCTGGGTACTGCAGCTGCCACCACCCTGTCAGGGACCTGGTGGGGCATTGGTGGGTCACCGATGGCCCCATCCCATGTAATACAGGTGGCTTTGTCCCCTAAGAGACATTTCAAAGGTTCTGAAGAAAGGCTGGAGAGTGGAGATGGAATCAATGGCAGTGATGGCAGGGATTGTGGGGACAGCAGGGCCACCAAACATGGGGAGGCTCCCTGGTGCCAGGCCCTGACAAGCCCGTGCCAGGCTCCCTGGGATGCTCCAGCAGTCACCAGCCCCTGGACTGGTGCCTGGAGGGGTGGGTGCCCGAGGGGAACTGGGCACCTCCCGCATCCAGGGACCTCCTTGCTCCACGTGCTCCATCCGGGGTGGCCCAGCCGGGAGCGTCCCGTGACAGCTCCGTGGCACAGCTCCCACCCCACCTGCGCTGGACTCGGTCTCCCCCTCCCAGCCCGGCCACCAGGGCCGCGGGCAGCCCGGGCAGGGCCGTCCCCGCAGGCCTTTCCGGAGCAGATGGCTGCGGCGTGGGGAGGACGGAGGCGGCTCAGCGCGTCCTTCCTTTCATGCACACACAGCGTGACTCCCGGCGGCTCCGGCTCCGGCTCCGGCTCCGGCGGGAGGTGCCGTTGGGGCAGCGCTGGCCGTCCATTTTACACGGGTTCAGATAGCTTAGTCCTCGGGGACAGGCGACTCAGGAAGATTAGGCCTCTCTAAAATAGGCAGGTATTAGTGATCTCAACAGCCCCCGGCCTTCCGGCACGGCCGGCATTTAAGCCAGTGCTGCTGCCGAGTGCCGGGACTGAGCCCCTGGAGCGGGAAGAAGCAGAGGGGCAGCCTGGCCCGGCCGGAGGGAACCCCCTGCTGCCCGCACTGGCAGGGGATGCTCGAGTTGGGTGACTCAGGCTGCCACATCCCTGCCAGTGCTCTCTCCAAGGGATGCCCCAGGGGGCACTGGGTGCCACCGACTCGTGCCTGGGGCTGCTGCAGGAGGTGGGGACGGATCCAGCAGCCAAGTGTCCCGGGCTGGCTGGTGGCTCAGGGGACGTGGAGTAGCCCTCCTGCAGTGCTGTCATCATGTCACACCCCCCCCCCAGGACAGGGCCTGTGCAGACACAGGACACACCAAGAAGACCAGAGTGGTGCCAGAAAATACTGCATTTATTGAGCCGAACGGTGTGCGAGGCACCAGGGCTGGTGCTGGGGTGACAGAGCGTCAGGGACCTGCCCCGTCCGGGGGCTCACACCAGGGGCACCACGGCAGGGGCTTGGTCAGCATGGTTTCAGGGGACCTGGGCATCCTGCACCCCAGCACCCGCCCAGCGCACTGGGAAAGCAACTGGGAATAGTTTTCGGGAGGAAAAACCCACGCCCAGCATCTGTCCTGGGACCGGGAAACAGCAGCCACAGCCTGCGCACCCCGTGGCTCCCGGGGAGCAGAGGGGAGCGGGGGCTGCCCCTGTCACCCAGCGCGGGGTGGGCAGCGATGCTACATCAGGGAGCACTTCTCCTTCACCTGATCCACGCCGCCCAGCGCTCGGTCCCGCAGCGCCGGCAGTTCCACCTCCCGCAGCTTCGCCAGGAAGGCGAAGGCCCCGGCGCCGCCTTCCTCCTCCTCCTCTTCCTCCTCTCCGCGCACCATCGCGGCCAGTTCCTGCGGCAGCTCCACCGCCCCGCCGGCCACGTGCATCTGCGCTTCGTCCCGCTCGTCCTGCACGACGTGGGACGGGGCGTCGGGAGGGGCGAACCCGCTGCCAACAGCCCCAACCAGACAGGGGACAGCCGGGCCCGGGGCGCTGGGGCCGCTGGAGGATGCCCGGACTGTCCGATGGCACGCTCGGACGCCGGACGGACAGTGGGAGGGGATGGTCAGACAGAGACAGTGGCCATCTGCTGCCCTCTTCAGGAATCCCTCCCATCCCGGGCAGCCCGGCAGCCGCGGCTCTGGGAATGTCCGCGGGGATGAAGGGTCGGGGGGAGCTCCCGGGTCGCACTGCAGACAGAACCACCCCGGTTCTTACCTGGGTCAGGTGGTACTTGTCCCGCAGGTGCATCCGCACAGTGGCCCGCTCTGCCTTCCTCTGCACAAACGCCTTGTCCCGCTCGATCCTGCAGCCGGTGCCACACTGTCACCTCACCGAGCCCTGCCAGAGCCTCCCAGCATTGCTACGTCTTCTGGTCTTGTGTCACACCATCACCCCCACCCCGCTGAGCCACCCCACCAGGGCTCCCTGACATCACCCCAGCCCTCCTGCAGCAGCAGGTCCAGGGCAGGGGAGAGGACAAGGTCTGAGATCCACAGGAGGGTTGCAATGGGGATCTGGAGGAAGGGGCCACATCCTGCCCATCCAGCCCTAGCACCCAGTAGAGATGCTCGCTGAAGGTGGCCATTGCTCCTCCTGCAGCCTCTCAGCTCCCTGGTGCTGAGGCACTGGATCCCCACAGCACCTGGCCCAGAGAGGTAGGACCTTAATCCAACCCCGTGCTGTCCCCCACATCCCTTGGCTCCAGGGTGCTGGGCTGACACCAGACACACAGCCAGGGCCACCAACACCTGGGGGCTCCCCTTGTCACCTATAGTGCACCAAACTCCATGCCAGCACCCACAGGGACCTCCTGTGCTGTGGGAGAGAGGCACCAAAGGGCACCCCCTCTGCCCTGTCCCTTGCCCTGGCTGCCTCCCTGTCCCTGTGCTGTGCCACCCTGGGGACAACCCATGGCGGGTGGGATCCTGGTCTGGGTGCATGGGGGACCCCAGTGACCTCCCCAGCCTTACTTCTCCTCCAGCAGCTGCCGCTGGTACTCCTCAAACTCCTCGCGGGCCATCCCGTTGGGCAGCGTGGCTGCCTTGTCATCCCTCGGGGGCCCCTTGGGCGGCTCCTCCTTGCCCCCCTGGAAGCTCCTCAGGGCGGTGGTGAAGAAGGAGGCCATGGTGGGTGGCGGTGGCAGCCTGTGCCCCACGATGCCCACCGGGTCCCTGCATCTGCAAGGTCGGCGGGACCGGCCCCAGGGGCACCGTGGATCAGGGGCGGATTAAGGCATTAGGAGGGGAAGCCACAGCCACCGGGGTGGAAAGACCTTCCTGTGCTGCACCCAGGGGTTCTTGTGGAAGGCAGTGGCGGTGTGTGGGGACGGCAGGTGCTGCCTCATCAGGGCGATGGGGAGGAGGAAAGAGCCACTGAGCCCCAGCACAGCCTGGGTCTGGCCGAAAGACCCTCCATTATGCAGGTGCCAGTGGGGGCAGTACCCACAAGGCCAAGCCATGGGAGGGATCTCAGGCCGTGGGCACCCAGAGCCACCCCCACAGTGGGGCTGGAGGTGCAAGAAACCAGCACAGAGGAGACACAAGAGGATTAACTGGAAAAACTCACTCGAGGGTCAAAGGACCGGCAGCAGACGAGGCGGTGACGGGTGCACACCCACCCGTGCCCCCGCTAATCCCCGCTCACCCAGCCCCGAGATTGCTCGGGAGCCTGCGGGGCCAGGGGCTCCCGCTGCGGGGGATGAGTCCTGTGCCCATAATCTACACACAAGCAATTCCCATGCAGCCTCTGATTGAAATCATAATCCCCACCATGCAGAGCCCTGAGGGGAGAGGGGCCGGACTGCGTGGGGGGCTCTGAGAGCCAGAGCTCCTGACCCCCCCAAAGCTTTTTGCTGGGCTTTGCTGGGCCCTGACGAAAGGATAGGCCTAATTTCACCCCAGAGGCTTAAAGATGATGTTGAACTAATTTCTTTGGTTTAATCAAAAAGCCCAAATCCGTGTGGTTTAGCTGGCTGTGCTGGCATCCCCATGCTGGGCCAGGAGGCTGGAGCAGGGCTGCGTCAGGGTTGGGGTTTCATCCTCCTGTGAATGGAGATGTCCAGTCTTGTCTCCCATCACTGGGATTCACAGCTCGAAGGGACCCCATGTGCAGCAACCACTACTGGGGCTGAGCACAGGGGGTGTGGGGCATGGCCCCCATGGGGGCTGCAGTCCCCACCCTGATGGGTCAGGAGAGATTGATCCCACGGGAACCTGCTCTGGGTCGTGTGGTGGGACGAAGGACTGTGCCAGGGTGGAGGGAGGCAGTTGCCTTGTTGTTGGGTGTCCCAGGGGAGATGAGACCCCTCCCTGCTGCTGCCCCATCTCCACTAGGCGAGAGTGGCACTACAGGCCACCCCACTCCTGGGCCCCACTGCCATGCCACTCCCAACCCCAGTGGGTCTGGCAGGCTTCAGGTCCTGGGCCCCGGTAGCAGGACAGGGGTTAAACGTCCCTCAGGTGCTTCAGCTCCTTTTGCAGCTTCTCTGTGAGTTTCTTGAAGGACGGGCGCTTGCCTGGCTCCATCTCCCAGCAGCTCTTCATCAGGGCATAGACGGTGGGCGGGCAGCCCTCGGGGGCGTCCATGCGGTACCCCTGCTCCAGCAGCTCCGTCACCTCCTTCAGGCTCTGGCAGGATGGAGAAGCTGGCTGGGACCCCCTGCCCTGCCCTGGCCAGGGGACAGTGGGAAGTCCCCACCCCGCTGGAGCAAGCAGGGTGTGACCCGTGGTGTCCCCTGGCACAGCACTCACCATCTTGGGGTAGGGTGCCCGTCCGAAGGAGAAGGTTTCCCACAGGAGGATCCCGTAGCTCCACACATCCGACTTGGAGGAGAATTTCTGTGGTGGCAGGAAGGGGGGAGGCTGAGCCCAGCTGGGGGCTGAATGGGGTCCCCACTATTTCCTGAGGGCAGGACAGGGGACAGTGCCTGCTCTGGCTGCCCCAGCTCCCAAAGGTGTGAACACCCCCCCGTTCCTGCCGTCCTGCCAGATCCCACTGGAGCTGCACCCCAGGGCAAGGGCTGGTCAGGACTGAGGCAGAATTCAGGGAGATGCAGAGCTGACTGTGTCAGAAGCCATGTGAGGCAGGGATGGGTTGGCAGACAGGGCAAGGAGTAGGGGGGACTTAAGAGGGTGAGATGCCTTGGAAGGACCCTGTGGCCCCCCTTCCTTCCCACTGTTGCTCACGTTGTGTTTCAGGGCCTCTGGCGCCGTCCACTTCACAGGGAGCAGTGTGGTGTCTGCGCCCTTGGGGTTGACCTGGGCCAAGCCAAAGTCACTCACTTTGGCCACGTTCTCCTCGGAGATGAGGATGTTGCGGGCAGCCAGGTCCCGGTGCACCAGCTTCTTGGACTCCAGGTAGTCCATGCCCTGAGCCACATCCCTGCCACAGCAGAGTGAGACAGAGCTGTGTCACTGCCTGTCCCCAGGGCTGTCCTGAGGGATGCAGAGCAGTCCCCAGCCCGGAGGGAGGGAGGGAGATGGACTTACAGGGCGAAAAGGAGGAGCTGCTGGGTCGGGACGAGTGCCCGGCCCCTCGTGCGCAGGAAGTTCACCAGATTGCCCTGACAGAAGAGGAAAAATGAATAAGGACCAACAGGATGGGGCTGCTGGGACATACAGCCTCCTGCAGTGCCCAGCATCCATAGGACTCAGCCCCTAAACAGGGGTTTTGTCCCCAGATCTGAGCAGAGATGGGTCCCACTGTCCGAAGAGCAGCCGGGTGCTCTCACCTTGCTCATGAACTCCATGACGATGTAGAGCCCGTTGTGCAGGATCACGCCCAGCAAACACACCAGGTTTTTGTGCTGGACCTTCCTGGAACGGAGAGGACCCGAGTCAAGGGGTTGCCTGCTCATCCCCAGACCAAGGGGCAGGGTTGGGTCATCCACGCTGGGGCACTCACGTCATGGCAGCCGTTTCAGCGAGGAAGGCCTGGGCGGTCACATCGCACTTGATGTTCTTCACAGCCACCTTCTGCCCCATATACTCACCCTGCAGGACATCTGGGAGGGGATGGGGGGTCAGGCTGAGCCCCACACCTGACCTTCTGCACCCCTGGCTGAGCCCCTCATGCCATGGGGTGGGGAGGGGGGTCAGGGAGTGCCATCTGCCTCTCACCTACCTCCAAACTCGCCTTTCCCAATGCAGTCTCCCAGTGTGAGGTGCTTCAGGTTCAGTAACCACCCAGCTGGGCACAGGCACAAGGGCAAGTTAGCAGGGACCACCAGTGGGGTCATACTGCCTTGTCCCCAAAACCTGGACTATGACCCTCTCCCTACCTTTGGCCAACTCCTTCTCGGCTGACTTCATCCCGGTTTTCGGTTTGGGCTTCACCAGCTTGGTGCAGATGGCTCCCTGCTCCTTCATATAGTGCTGCCAAGAGATGAACAGATGGAGGTGATGCCAGCTCTTACCCTCATGCTCGGGTTGTGAATCCAGGGAAAGCTTTGGGATGCTCCATGGGACCCCACCACCACCACCACCCTGGAGGGCCCCTTTGGCTCAGGCAGTTGGAACACCCTGTTTCTCCCAGCACTGGGATTTGCAGCCCATGTCTCAGCCCTGCTCCCCTCTGGGCACAGCCAGAGGAACACCAGGATGGACCACAGGGGATATGGGAAGGGTTGAACCTCCAGTAGGTGCTGCAGCAGCTGGGGGCAGTTTGCAGGAACAAAGGGAGTGGAAGCAGTGGGATGGGATGGGATGGGGTGGGATGGGATGGGATGGGATGGGATGGGGTGGGATGGGATGGGGTGGGATGGGATGGGATGGCCTTTGCAGTTTCAGAGCATGGCTGGGGCAGCTGGGAGGGCAAAGGACCCACTCAAAAGCAGAAGCTGTGTGACAAAAAGTGAGAGTGCAACCCTCTAGAGAGGAGACAGGCAGAAGCTCCAAGATAGGGTGAAGATGGACCTCGAGCAAGAACTGGGTGGAGAGGTGAGAGCTCAGTGGACAGCCTGAGAACCTGTGGGGTCAGCAGCTGAGAGGGTACAGAGAGAGGTTAAAGTGCCTCAAAGTCCATGAGAGGCAGAGGCCATAAGGGTCTTCCTGCTGTGTGAAAGCACTGAATAAGCAGGGATGGGGGGAATGTGACCCTTTGGTAGGAGACTGGGGCTGCAGCTGGCATGGCTGGTTTGCACAGACATCACCTGGGGCATCCTGGATCTGCCCACTGCACCTCAAACCGAGTGGGAACCAGGAGCCTTTGACAGGGATGGAGAATTACACCAGGTAACCACACAGAGCAGGACAGGGACCTGCCACTACTCCATGTGACCCCGTGAGGTCCTTGCCCTCGTCTGGCACTGGTGGGACTCCCTGCCCAGGGATGGGGAGCCTCACCTCGATCATGTCGATGAGGTTGGAGAAGTGCTCCTGGCTGTCGATGCTGAGCGTGTTGCCCTCGTGCACCACGCGGTAGTGGATCACCTCCCTGCCGAAGCTCACGCACAGCACGTAGTCCCCGGGGTGCCGCACGGACTCGCGCACCAGGAACAGCCCGTCCTCGGGGGGCTGCAGCTCCTGCACCGCCTGCACCCCCGAGATCTTCCCGTGGAACCAGCTGAGGAAAGGGCCGTTGGGGAGGAGGCTGTGCCACTGGGCTGTCCCCAGTGCCAGCAGCGAGACAGAGACAGCAGAGCCCCTGCCAGAGCTACACAGACCCCACTGCGTGAAACCCCTCTCCATGACGTCCACCCACGGTGGGTGGGCACAGCTAGGGGTCTTTAAAGCCAGGTACTGACCCCAGCAAATCCCTCCATTGCCAGAGCATGACTGCGGGCTGCTCTGCCTCCACTGCCCACCCAAAACCTGGGTGGGGGGACACATGCTGGACTCATCTGCTGTTGCAGGTCCCGGGGGCTCAGCTGGGCCCCCCAGAGCCCTCCCAGCTGTACTCACGGCATGAGGCTGAGTTTGGGGTCCACGCGGATGGCTCCGCGCTCCCGCAGCGCACTGGCCGCCAGCAGCCCCTCCTGCCCCGTCTCGTTGTGCCTGGCACGGTACCAGCCTTTGCCCTGGGGGAGAGAGGGTCTCAGAGCAAGGGAAGGAAGGGAAGATCCCACTGCAAGTGGGGGCTGGCTCTGGCAGCTCAGCTGGTGGCATTTTGGTGCCATCCGTGCCACGCCCTCCCAGGGCAGTGTGTCCCACGGGTCTCACCTCCACGGCCTCGATGATGGTGACCACATCTCCCTTGTGGAAGGCGAGCTCCCGGGGCTTGGGCTTGGTGTGGTCGTGCTTGGTGACGCACTGCGTCCCGGGGGGCCAGTGCTTCTGCAAGGGGAGGGCAGCGTCAGCAGGGACAGCGAGGGCTGGACCCTCTGCCTCCCACAGCCACCAGGGGCCCCAAGGACTATCTGGCTGAGGACCAGGGGTGCTGGGAACCACCACGGTCCCGGGGGCACATGTCACCCTGCTGTCAGCAGGAACTGCTGTGTCCGTGTGCAGCCCCGCTCACCCCGGACATGGCCAACCGTCCGCGCATCAGGCACTCCCCGTCCTCTCCTGCTGCCACCTGCAGAAGAAACCAGAGGGGCAGTGGAGGGATGGGGCTGAGCTGGCTCATCCCAGGCCAGCACCGCTATCCCACAGGCTCCTCTGGCCGGTGCAGCCCCGTCTGCCACACAGCCCTGCCCCGTGGGGTGGAGGAAAGGCTTAGAGCAGGCTGCAAACCCTGCGTGTGTCCCAGGGACACTCCTGTCCCACACACAGGACGGAGCAGGAACCAGCCCTCCTGCTCTCTGTCACTGCCACAACAGGAGCCCAGTACTGCAGCTGGCGGGGGAGCAATGCAGTTTTACCAGGAACTTGCTCTTTCACCTCCTCTTTCAGGACCTCCAAATCATCAGGGTCATGAGGGGGGCTGGATGTAGCCCTGCAGATGTGGGATGCAGCAGGCTTGTGTGGGGGCTGCCCTCCAGAGTGGGGACACTGACAGGCCAGGCTGGACTCAGGTAGGACTGTCACACCCACTGACCGTGGGAGGATTGCATAAGGTCCCTGTGTTCCCCTTGCTACCAGCTGGTCACGCTGGGGTGCATGTGACAGCTCTGCAATTCAAAATTGTGGGTCATCTCCTCCTGGAGTCTGTCACTGCCAGTGTCACCTCCTTGGCAGGATCACAGACTCCCAAAATAGTTTGGGTTGGAATGGACCTTAAAGTTCATCTTGTTTTCAAACACCTTCCACTAGAACAGGTTGCTCCAAGCCTGAAGACTTCCAGGGATGGGGCAGCCACAGCTGCTCTGGGCAACCTGTGCCAGTGCCACCCTCACAGCCAACAATTCCTTCCCACTATCCCATCGAACGCTCTGGCAGTGGGAAGTCATTCACTCCATCCCTTGTCCCCAGTCCCTCTCCAGCTCTCCTGGAGCCCCTTTAGGCCCTGCAAGGGGCTTTCAGGTCTCCCTGGAGCCTTCTCTTCTCCAGGTGAACCCCCCCAGCTCTCCCAGCCTGGCTCCAGAGCAGAGGGACTCCAGCCCTGGGAGCATTTCCGTGGCCTCCTCTGGACTCTCTCCAGCAGCTCCGTGACCTCTAAATGTTGGTGCCCCAGCTCTGCAGAGGGGTCTCACCTGAGCAGGGCAGAGGGGCAGAATCCCCCCTGCCCTGCTGCCCATGCTGTGAGATGAGCTCCTTGGAGCAGAGGTGACTTTTCTCTATTCCTCTTCTGGGGGGTGAATCATGGTCACCCCTCTGCATCACCAGTGGTGAACTCACCCCTGTGACGATGAGGCTCTGAGGTCTGTCTGACTGTGCCAGTCCCTACCCACAACAACAACACAGGGGCAATTGCAGCTGCTACAGGGGTAGTGTTAGAAGGCAGCAGTTTTGAGTGTACCAGAACCCCCTCACCCTGCAGCCCCCCCGGCACACGAATCACCCTGGTGAAGTTAGGGGTGCCAAGGCAGCCTCTCCTTGCCCTGCTCCCTGCAGGCACAGCCAAAGGCTGACAGGACTGAGTGCAGCTCAGCTCACTTCCAGGAGGGTGAGGACCTTACAGGCACAGAGGTTCAGAACAGAGTCCTCTCTGTGGCCCTCACCATGGTGCACCCTGCTCCCAGGAGGGACCTACTGACTGAGCCAGGAGGGCTGATGGCAGCTCTGACAGTTGGTCTTTCATTTCCTGCTTCTCCAGTACAGAAACTTCTGGTGAAAAGCAGTAACTGTTTGCTCAGTCTTGCCCCTGTGTGCAGAAAGAGGCTTGGGGTGCTGGACACACCCCCACATGGACACCTGCAGCTGGCATGGCCTGGAGAGCAGGCAGGGCCTCACCCAGGCCCCAGCAGGGACAGCAGTGAATCACCTCCCTGCTGGTGACACTTGTCCTAAAGCAGCTGTGTGTTCCTGGGGGTGTTTGATTGGTGAGGTTCCCATCACTGGAATAAGAGGTCCCACAAGCCAGGTGTGTGGGCAGAAAGCCCATTGCTCCCTTCTCTGTTTTGGGGCCGCTCTGTGCCTCTATTAACCTGAGCATTTGCAGAGGATAAGAAGCACAGAAACCTGATGGGGTTTGGTGGAGCCATCCTGACCCTGAACTGGGGAGCTCAGGCTTGTTTTCAGTGCACAGAGTTCCTGGCTGCCAGGCTGCCAGACCCGACAGCTCCGTGACAGGAGGGGACACCCGGCTGGGAGGCTGCACCTGTGCCTGGCCCCGGGATGGGAAGCAGACACCCTGTGCACCCTGCTCTGAAGAAGCCACCACGGAGCTGTTTCACAAACACCCGGACAAAGGACAGGTACAGCTCCTCTGCTGGAACACGGGTGACACCCGGGCATTTCCCCACTGCCCACCACGCCCTCAACTCCACACCGCGCCCGCCCCTCCCTGTCCACAGAGGGGACACAAGGACGTGTCACCTGCTCTGGGCACCTCTCAGCCCCTGGTTCTCACCTCTCAGCAGTGGCCATGTGGGGCCGTGGGGCAGCAGCGTCTGGGGTGGCTCCCGGCTAAGCCTGGGGCTGCATTGCTGAACCCCTGGAGGGCAGATCCTCTTTCCTACGGAGGGCCAAGCTCTGCGTTCAAGGGCAGTTCTCAGAAAGAGGCGCTGCCCAATTTCCTGATTTCCCCGCTGCTGAGGCTGTGCTGCAGCGTCACGGCCGTCCCAGCGCCGCCTGTGCCCTCAAACCTCCACCACAGATGACTCATTATTTGACAACACCGAGAGCAACTTTCTGCCCTCTGGGAGCACATGCACACACCCTCTCTGGAAGGAGCTGGAGCTCTCCAGATGCTGCCCCTGCGGTGCCGTGAGGCACTCGCAGAGCTCACGATGCGCTCTGCAAACAGGCACCGTTGCTCTCACCACTGGGGGCTTGGCCAGAGCAGCGACCACGGAGTGGGTGCCCACAGTGGGTGAGACTCAGGAGAGGAAGAGCTGGGACCAGGGATCCCCAAATCTAATCCTGTCTCAGCATGGACTTCCGTGACCCCAGGGGAGGTCAATCCAAGAGCAGGGTCGCTCCTCTCTGCTCCACAGAGGGTGATACCTCAGAGGCATCGTGGGCTGGGCTGGGCAGTGGCAGAGGGACCTTTAACTGAGCCCCACTGGTGAAGGGCAGCAGCTTATCTGTCTCCTCCAGCATCCGCAGCCTCCACAGCCCATCAGCCCAGTCAGAAAAACAGACACCACTTCTGCCCAAATGTTCAGCATTTCTGACAGTCTGAGCAAAATGGTGAAAAAGAAGAAACTGCAGCAAACACCAGACTTCATCCAGGGCTCTTGGGGGTTTTTTGGGGTGTACTTTTTTTGTTTTGTTTTTAATACAGTGCTGTTTAAACCTCCAGAAAACACTGTGACAACTCAAGGGCAAGGCAGTGTAGAAGAAAACTAATCCAAACTAGCCAGTGCTTTCAGCTCCATATTTTCCATCTACAAATAACTTCCCCAAGCCATTGACACCAGCCTGTCCGTAGGATTCCTGGGACAGGTTTCACCAGGAGCACTCCTTGCATTATCTCCTGTATTTCTAGGGATGGATCTTTCGATACCTGGTCTGTTTAGGCTGGAGAATGAGCACACAAGTTCCCCCTGGCAGTCCTGCTGCACTCACAGGGTCTGTGCAGGAATCCCCGTGACAAACATTTTTATATTTTGTACTTCTGGCTTTTACCACATCCGATTGCTGTCACAGACAGCACAGACGTGACCACTGGCCAGGGAACTCGGCATCACGGAGATGGAACAACCTGCTCAGGCATAATCAATGGGCTTTCCCTGTCCTGCTGCATGGCCAGCAGAGATTCCCACTTGCTTCTGCCGGAGCTGGCAGTCTGGGATTCTGGGATTCTACAAAGCAATGCATCTGTGTAACCACCCATGGAGTGTTGAAACACATCTCTCTCCAAACACACATTTCTGCAGGGCTCATGGCCCTCATCCCAGAATATTTAAACAGAACCTGCTTAACACCCCCCAGAAATGTCCTTGAAGAAGAAACAGCTTCATTTGACAATAAACAACACAGAAATAATGTTCTTCACTAAGTTCTAAAAAGGCACTCAAAATACTCCAAAAAGCCTGAAGGAATGTGAAGAGGGATTTGAAAATGAACTTTAAAGGAAGAACCACAGAATCCCAGAATAGTTTGGACTGGAAAAGACTTAAAGATCATCTTGTTTCCAACCTCTCCTGCCACGGGCAGGGACACCTTCCACTAGCCCAGGTGGCTCCAAGCCCCATCCAACCTGGCCTTGGACACTTCCAGGGATCCAGGGGCAGCCACAGCTGCTCTGGGCAACCTGTGCCAGGGCCTCCCCACCCTCCCAGCTAAGAATTCCTTCCCAATCTCCCATCTCACCCTGCCCTCTGGCAGTGGGAAGCCATTCCCTGTGTCCTGTCCCTCCATCACTTGTCCCCAGTCCCTCTCCAGCTCTCCTGGAGGCTCTGGAAGGGGCTCAAAGGTGTCCCCAGAGACTTCTCTGCTCCAGGCTGAACCCCCCAGCTCTCCCAGTCTTCAACATTTACACAAAGCTGAAGTCTGTGGCGATTCCCTCACTGACAGCCACACACAACAACCAAAGTGTTGTGCTCTGTGTCTCTCCATTGCACTCTTTTTCCAGATACCAGTGGCAGCACCAAAGCCACGTTACAGCCGGTCCTTCCCACATCTGCTTGGTCAACTTTGTCAGAAACAGTGAAGAGGAAGTGGCTCTGTTTCTGTGTACACACTGCACACCACTGCTCCCACACAGCACCCCCAAACACAGGACCCCTGCTCCACAGGGTGAGGGATAAACCCCAACCCATACAACAAAATGTGGCAGTTCCAGGCACTTCAGGCCAGGCCAGAAACTGCCCCCAGTCTGAGGGCAGAAATCTAAAATTATAAAGAAAATGTATAAAGAACACACATGAAACCGGGGGGTGGGGGGGGTGTATTTCTTTTTTTCTTTAATATATCTGTCTACCTGTTTTGCTGTGGAAAGAGTTTCTTCTAGAGCAAGGAGTGGGAGGGAAGGAGACAGAAGGAAAGGAACTGTTGCTACAGGCAACTTGACTCTTACACAACGGTGCAATTTCTGTAGTGATTATGGAATCACAGAATTGTTGAGGTCGGAAAAGACCTCCAAGATCATCAAGTCCAACCATCAGCCAAGCACCACCACCACGTTCACCACTAACCCATGTCCCCAAGTGCCACATCCACGCTATGTTTGAACCCTCCCAGGGATGGTGACTCCACCACTGCCCTGGGCAGCTGTGCCAATGGTTAGCAACCCTTTCTGTGAAGAAACTTGCCCTAATATCCAACTTAAACCTCCCCTGGCATAACCTGAGTTCATTTCCTCTTGTCTTGTCACTTGTTACCAGGGAGAAGACACCGACCCCTACCTGGTCCCACCCTCCTGTCAGGGAGCTGTACAATTTTGGGAAATTATAGCACAATAAAACTACCTACAGTGCACTATTTTAAGGACAAGTTATTTTAAATGTAAGGTATCAGACTAACCAAGGACCTCTTTATAGGATAAATTAGAATCATATGAACATTATTTCATACACACAGTGTCTTTATTAGGTAGCACTTTCTTTTTTGTCCTATTTTCCACCTCCTTCACCCGCTGCTCTTCTACCTGTCTCTTTTTATTGTGTGTATTAAATGTATTTTGGAAGATCCCAAGTCCCCTGTTTATGTTTCATTTGTTTATTTGTTTGTTTTTCTCTAAGCCAGCACTTTTAGAACATGTCAGGAGAAGAAGGAGATAAAATGGTGACAAGCCGACTGAAATGAAGGCAGCTCTAGGAAGGGAACATACAGAAATCTGCAGTTCTTCCCACACACACCATGGAAGGTGGAATTTAAAATCATTGAGGATATCATCACCACCACTACACCATACACAGAAATTAAGCTTATACTGCAAACGTTCACCCAAAGCTAAGGCAGCCAGCTCCCTGGAATACAGAAAATCAAGAATTTGGTGTTCAAGCTGAAGCCTTCATAATCAACCTTCTGCCCTGAGCCACAGAGGTTTCAGGCAAGACTGGTTACAACGATTTTAATTTATTCTCATACTGGGCTCTCTTTCATCATATTTAACTGGAGTCACTGTAGGATTTTGGCGTTTGCTTATTCCGTATTGATCCAAGAAAGTCAATGCTCTCATTGCAGAGTCAGGCAAATTGTAACTGTTAATGAGAAAGAAGTAATTATGTGTAAATGACCTTTCCTACTGCGTATCACACCAAGAACCACTGAGCAAACAGGCTGGGAAAGAGCTTGAGTCATGCACTGCACACTTTTATGTGCCACAGTAAGTTTTGTGGCTTTCCACACAGGCAATAAAAAATTTGTCAGAGGAGTCAATGGCACACAGAAACCAGGAGCATTTCATTTACAGACAATGGGACTCTCAGTCCCACCTTGTGTTGTTTCTGTGACGGGAGAACCAAATGAACCAGGTCCCTTCTGTCAGGGGGCTGGGATGGATCTCAGGGAAGGTTCTTCCCCCAGAGGGTGGTGGGCACTGCCCAGGCTCCCCAGGGCAGTGGGCACGGCCCCAAGGCTGCCAGAGCTCCAGGAGCGTTTGGACAACGCTCTGAGGGACAGGGGGGATTGTTGGGGTGTCCTGGGACAGGGGTTGGACTGGATGATCCCTGTGGGTCCCTCCCAGCTCAGGATTTCCTATGATTCTAAGCTTCACTCACTTTGATGAATCTCTTTATTTAATCTGAGCAACATAAACTCAATTGCTGATGTTACTAATGATAAAAATATAATAATAAATAAAATGCTAATGATAAAAATACAATAATAAATAAAATGCAAACTACACCTCTCAGTAGATTAAAAGCATTAATTGCAGAATTGCACTGCTGGGAACATTCACCAAAGTGGTATTAACTGTCCTTCTCTACCTGGGCATGGGCTGTGACATCATTTCATTACAGATTCACAGAATCCCAGAATGGTTTGGGTTGGGAGGGACCTTAAAGCTCATCTCATCCCACCCCCTGCCATGGGCAGGGACACCTTCCACCAGCCCAGGTGGCTCCAAGCCCTGTCCAACCTGGCCTTGGACACTTCCAGGGATCCAGGGGCAGCCACAGTTGCTCTGGGCAACCTGTGCCAGGACCTCCCCACCCTCACAGCCAAGAATTTCTGCTTCTATAGTGAAGAGTTCCTGGCAACTCACAGTCTCTAAAGCATTCAACTTACCTTCCTAATAGGGATCTTGCAGTCCAGGTTCATCTGACAATGCAAACGATGAGAAAGAAAATGCATCACAAAAATAAATATATTGCAGTCAGGTTTTTAACAGCAAACAGCAGCAGGTAAATAATTAAAAATAAAGTTTAAAAGCCGTTTAAGTAATTCTGGAATCTTGCTTTACCTGAAGTAAGAAAATGTGACAAGCTGATCGAGCTTAGATCATTAGAGTCTCCAGAATGAGCCCACAGTTATAGCAACTGAGACTTCCCTTAAAAGCTTTTCTATAAATAACGACTGTGAGTGTTCCGAAAAGCAATTTGTGAGCTTTGTAGAAGTCAAGTGGGAGTGCCTGGGGCTGGAAATACAGCTCTGACAAATCCACAGAATCTCAGAATCCTAGAATGGTTTGGGTTGGAAGGAACCTTAAAGCTCATCCAGTCCCACCCCCTGCCATGGGCAGGGACACCTTCCACCAGCCCAGGGTGCTCCAAGCCCCATCCAACCTGGCCTTGGACACTTCCAGGGATCCAGGGGCAGCCACAGCTGCTCTGGGCAACCTGTGCCAGGGCCTGCCCACCCTCACAGGGAACAGTTCCTTCCCAATATCCCATCTCACCCTGCCCTCTGGCAGTGGGAAGCCATTCCCCCTTGTCCTGTCCCTCCAGGCCCTCGTCCAATGTCCTTGGAGCTCTCTTGGAGCCTCTTTAGGGACTGGAAGGGTCTTGAAGGTCTCCCCAGATTCTTCTTTTAAAGCCTTGTCTACAAAAAGCCCCATTGTCTCTGAAGTGTCATGTTAGAAGTGAAAAAAACAAACAAATCTGCTCTACCCTTAACCAAATCTCGCTGCTTCTCTGCACATTTGCCCACCCTTGGGACTCTGCCTTGGGGTTTGCAGCACTTTGAAATGAATTCCTAGATTGCCTTGTCACAAGTTGTCAAACCACCAGGAGTGTATACATTTCTGTGGTAATTTTTATCACACAAATAGTCAAGTATGAAATTATCTTTGCTCTTTTACCATCAAAACAGACACACACTCCCCCAGCAAAACAACCCTTTGACCTGCTCCTGGTGGCAGAGCTTCCTCAGGGTGAGCGCCAAAGGGATGAGTTCAGAGCTTCCTCCTAAAAATGTGAAAGATCTCAGACAACTGAGTGCACACAGGATTCTACAGCTGCTTGGTAATCTCCTTAAGTGCAGTAATCAGACAAGAAATTCCCCCTCAAAAGCAGACAAAGAGCTGAATGTATCACCTCTGTCATTTCCACTGAGCCTTTGGGGGATATTTCTGTTGTTGGCTGGCATTTTCCCACCACTCACCTGCTGCAGTTTGGTGGCAGGAGGAGAAGTTTACTCCCCATCTCCTGTCACACTTTTTTGTTTGGTGTAGGATTCTGGCACTACTCTCTGAATACTAAACACAAACCCATTGCAGCTGCACTCGGAGCTCACAGCCGGATGTTTTATCCGTCACCGCTTCCAGTCTGGAGCACAAAGCACATCGTTCAGGATAAGCAGCCCTGGCAGTGACAGCAGGGATCTCTCACCAGGAAGAACTTTCTCAAGGTGTACGTCCTTACCCCTTACAAATGCTGGGGAACGTCCCCCAGCAGTGTTCAGAGCTCCCACCCACGTTACAGAGCAAAGGAAACACAACACCCCCCGAGGCTGCACAGGGGACCAGAAAGAGGCAGCTGAAAACCCTGCAGAGGGATTTCACTGGAACACAAATCACTCACAGAGTGACAAGGTTTGACACCACAACAGACACGTCAAAATTTTCCAGCTCGTGGGGAGCAGCAATCACCTAGCAAATAAATTCCTACAGCAGTTTTTTTTCTGAGTCCACAGTGCACTCAAGCATGTTCCCTTCAAGATTATCACCCCTCCCTGGTACCAGTCAATCACCTGCCTGTGTTATCATGGGCGTTTTCCAGGCATAAATACTTGGGTTTTTTCCTTCTTTTTGTCTGCTTTTGTTTGTAGTGAGAATGGGAAGAATAAAATCCGATCTGACTGGAAATGCTTTACCTGAAGATTTAATTTAAATTTCAAATCTTCAATTTCATAAGTAAAAGCAAAGTAACATTCTCAGGAATTCACAAAGCAACAGCAATGGAAATAATCTCAATGCTTCATCACCTGTCACAGCATTAAAAGCAGTATTTACCCACAGAAAAAAAAGCCTGACTAATACAAAACCCTGCCTGAAAGCCTGTAAGTATTTATTTGAAAAATCAGAGCAAGGTAATTATGCAGGAAATAAACCAGCAAAGATTAAGTTCAACAACTAGATCAAGTGTGTTGAAAAAATAATGTTGCAAAAAAGTTTAAAATCCTGATGATTGCGTCTGAAATCAAAAGCCTCCCACAGCAATTTATCTGCAAAGGAAAGTGTCAGCCTCTCCCACACGGTCATGTCAAACAGGCTGTTTACCCAGCAGCCCTGCAGGTACATTTTCAGAGACAGTTGTAGCTCTGCTTCTGGTTTTGTCACCTTCTCACCACAAGTTTGCCGCTTCTTTCCTCTGCTTTAGCAGTCTGTGAATGGAGAAAACTGGATCAGTAGCCCAATTCTTTACTATTTAGAAAGATATCCTTAATAGCATTTAAGTTAAAAATCCTTCATGCTACTGTCAGCTGTTTGTCACCATGAAATCTTCCCCCATTTGTTCTATTCCTTGTCATCAGAGCAATTGTTGGAGCAGCTGGCAGCAGTGGATTGCATTTATTACTGACATTTCCATCTCAAACAGAACACTGAAGCAATGCCTGTTAAGCAAAAGCTTCTGCCTGAGCTTCTGTCTGGTGCTCAGCCTGCCTCAGAGTGCAACAGGGAGCACCAAAAAGGCCTGGCAAAGTTGGGATCTCTGCAAAGATGGGGGGGGGGGGTTCACCTGGAGAAGAGAAGGCTCTTGGGGAGACCTGAGAGCTCCTTCCAGGGCCTAAAGGGACTCCAGGAGAGCTGGAGAGGGACTGGGGACAAGGGATGGAGGGACAGGACACAGGGAATGGCTTCCCAGTGCCACAGAGAGCAGGGTGAGATGGGAGATTGGGAAGGAATTGTTGGCTGTGAGGGTGGGTAGGCCCTGGCACAGGTTGCCCAGAGCAGCTGTGGCTGCCCCTGGATCCCTGGAGTGTCCAAGGCCAGGTTGGATGGGGCTTGGAGCCACCTGGGCTAGTGGAAGGTGTCCCTGCCCATGGAAGGGGGTGGAATGAGATGAGCTTTAAGGTCCCTTCCAATTCAAACCATTCTGGAATTCCAAGTTCTTCCAATGGTAAGAAGTCTTTCAAAGTAAAAAGGCCATTCAAGACTCTTCTAGAATTTTTGTGCTCTGCAATTACAAAGTTAACTCTAATTATTTCTTTGATTACGGTTATATCAACTACAAGCTGTAGTTGGGCCTGAAAGATTTTAAGCTTCTTATGACAAACTGACGTGAACATCTCCATGATGGTACATGTCAGATACCTTCAATATTCCAGAACATTCCTGAAGAGGTTAGAGCTCACGCCACCTCCTCAGCAGCTCTTCTCTCTGAGCAGTTCTTAAAAGTCAGAAGACCTGAAATACAATGTCCAAAGGTGAGTGAACACTTGCACAAGAACTTTTTAGAGACATTGACTTGGGCAGTCAAAACCAATTGTGAGATAATTTTCAGGAATATTTTAAGAAACACACTCACGGTTGGATTCTGCTCTGTTTATGTTGTTGGGTTTTTCTGAAGTGATAAAGTTATTTTCTTGTTAACTGTAACATCTCTTCAACAGGAGTATTGAGGAAAACGTGACAGAAAACCTTTGTGAAATGGTCTGGTTTGACAGCACAGGGACAGCTGCAGGGGAGGAACACTGGGCAAAGCCGAGCACCACACTCAGCTCACACCGGGTTATCTCAAGAGCTTCACTGCAGGGAGCTGACTCACAGCACATACTTGTGCCACAGCTTTTATTTCAGAAATGCTTCTGAAAGATCTTCTCCTTCTTCACCCTTCTAGAAGATGAGCAGCTCTGTGGTGTTTGTGACACTGCAGACCTGTCCCACCTTCTGGCAGCCCCCGGATATGCCACATGTGCACCTGCTCCAGCACCGAGCCCTCACAGAGCCCACACTGAGCCTGGTTTGCATCCTGCAGGGCTCCTGCTCTCTCAGCTTCCTGTCTGCTCAACAACGGCTTTCTTGTTGTGCTTTTGTCACTCTGGGTGCTCCTGGTTCGTCTGCAGTCAGACAGGGCAGCATATTCATCTCCCTTTCAATGAAGGTACTGTTTTTCTATTAAAACACTCAACGTCCTCTGAAAATAAACAGAAAATTTCCTGAAATGCTCAGATCAAAAACAAAAAACCCACCCTTTGGAGTCACATTCAAACCTGCAATGTATAAAGAGCTCACAAGAACATAATTGATCCATTTCTCCCTCACTGGTGTCCCTAAAGCAGGGCTCTGTCACCCCGTGTGCAAGAGCCAATCCACACACTGAGTCGAGTTACTGCATTTCATCACCGCTGTGCAGAACAGGGTGCTGGCCCCTCACACCTGGGAAACGAGCACAGGCTTGTTACAAAAAGGTAACACATGAAAATGACACAGAGACAGGGGACTGTGCACTCATGCTCCTACCACATAATTCTTAATGTGCATTTGGTGCCTTGATCCAGTTCATTACACCCTCTTTTGTACATACAAATTTCCCTGGAGGTGTGTTTTTTAACATCATAATAAACTAAGGTAACTCGAGGCTATATTTTTATTGTATCATCTACTGCCAAGTTATTTTTTAACCTTATACTCAATTACACTTTCTTCATGAATCTGTTTGAACAACTGTCAGTGAAATAGGGAGTTCTGGTGTTCTGTTCCTGGGGGTTCCTCACTGCTCCGTTCTCTCCCTCCCTGTTCTCATGGTTTCAGGTCTCTGTGACCATTTTGTGAATGTTTTAACTTCATCTGACATCACTACTGGAAGCACACACAGTGAACCTGCTCATTTCAGGCTCCTTGTACAACCAGTCCAGCCTTGGCTGCAAGAGTTACATAGGGCATGGAGCTGTGCCAGGGGGTTTGGGATGGATCTCAGGGAAAGGTTCTTCCCCCAGAGGGTGGTGGGCACTTCCCAGGCTCCCCAGGGCAGTGGGCACGGCCCCAAGGCTGCCAGAGCTCCAGGAGCGTTTGGACAACGCTCTGAGGGCCAGGGGGTTATTGTTAGGGTGTCCTGGGCAGGGATAGGGGCTGAACTGAGTGACCCCTGTGGGTCCCTCCCAGCTCAGGACACTGTGATTCTGACTCCACATGTGCAAACATCCACGATCAGCTCTGTGCTGCCTGCAGAGCACACCTGGTGTAGCTGGTGCAGACCCGGGTGGCACCAGCGGCTCACGCGCTCGGTTGGATGCGCTGACCTCACGAGGAACGAAGAACCAAAGGCCCCAGCCTGTTTGACATTGAAGTTCTCAATAAGGAACGGACTGAGCAGCACAAGGGAGGCAGAGTGATGTTCTCAGGAGCAGGGCAGTCCCAGCACAGCACCAGCTGGCTCTGAGAAACCTGCACTTTTACATGTGGTGACTCCTGCCTCGAGCAAATTCTCGTGAGCCGCTGTAGCTCTTTGCAAACGGCCCTGTAAGGCACTGATGTCTCTTTTCTCCCACCACAACAAGCAGCTGTCAGCCAGCTGTCAGCTGGTAAACTGGGACACAGACACAGGTCATGGGGAAAATCCCCCCTCGAGTTTTGGGTGGGTCCCACACACTCCTCCAGGGACGTGGCCGGCCCTGATTCCAGGCATCAAGAACCAGCTGCAGGACTGAAGGCATCCCAGAAGATGCACTGCCATACTTTCAGATCAGTTAAGTTAGGAAAGAGATGTTTAGCACATCAATATACATTTCTTCTCAAAACAGGAAGTTATTTAACAAAAATTGTGAGAATTCAGGTGAAGAAAAAGAAGGCTGTGTCACTGAAAAGCCTGAAACAGCACACATTCATTCCAGAAAACTGCATTTATCATCAAAATCTCTGCATTTTGTCTGGAGAAGAAAGCTTTGCTCATAACTAAAATAAATAGCAGAAGAAAAGAGCAAGGGTTAAATGTGAGCCAGTTTTTAGCACTTCTTGCTTTCTCAACAGGACAAATCAAGCAATTTTAGTTACAAATACACTGCTCACTATACCATGTTTTTCAAAATATACACACATTGAGGAACGTATTTTTAGAGTCCCTCAAACAATGGACCCATTGAAACCTCCCCTCCCTGACCTCCCCCAACCAAAAACAAATCAGGGATAGAGTAATCTAAAATATATCACCCACTAAAAAGGTGAAATACTAATTCTGTAATGGTTTAATTTCTCAAATTCAATGCTACAGGAATATCACCTGTTTTAGCATAATTCCAAGGAATTAATGAAGAATATTTATAATTCACAGCTCATCTCATCATATTCCCCCAACAAGTAGATATGGAAAAATATTGCTTATGCATTCCAGGTACTTCAAATCCTGTTTGGAGACATGCTTATCACAGAATCACGGAATGATTTGGGCTGGAAGGGACCTTAAAGCTCATCTCATTCCACCCCCTGCCACAGGCAAGGACACTTTGCACTAGACCAGGTTGCTCCAAGCCCCATCCGTCAGATTTCCTGCAGAACAAGCATCAACTACAACCTGTTTATGAGAATCTCTGACAGGAAGCAGACGACTGAGCAAGAAGGTAGTAATTTCACACTGAATAAATGATTCATTTGCTCTTTATAGAGAGAGAGGCTTCTCCAGAAAGAGCCTCTGGGCAGCAAACTCATCCCCTTCAGAGACTGCAGGAAGCTGTGGTTTGAAGCTTCGAGCTTAAGAAGCAACTCCCTGCACTGCAAGAACTTTAAAATAAGACATATACACACAGAATCCAGGGATACTGGATTCTGGCAGAAGGGGTGCTGCTTGCTCTATGTAGTTATTCACAGATGTTTGTTGTTCATAACTATCCTGTATACAGAATTCCAAGAGGGGAAAAAAAGAAAGAAGAAAGTGGACTGTAGTAAAAAGTAGTTGTTTTTAATTGCCTGATGTGGCAGACAGAAGATCATTCACAGAGTTAATTTCTGCCTCAAATAGTAGGTAATGAGATTGTTTATAGAAAAATACCTAAGGACATTTTTGTGGTACTGGCAGGGGATGTACTGGGAGCAGGAGCAGGGTAATTGTGTCACTCCAGGAGAGCTCAGCTGAGGGTGCATGGAAACAGCAGGAATCATTGGCGGTGACTCTGGACAAGAAGGTCCTTTTAATTCATTCCCATGAGAGGTCCATTCCAAGTCCAAATGGTCCCAGGCGCTGAGCTCTGCTCTGGGACCAGGGACAGGAGCCAGGGAAGGGCTGGAGCTGTGCCAGGGGGCTTGGGATGGATCTCAGGGAAAGGTTCTTCCCCCAGAGGGTGGTGGGCACTGCCCAGGCTCCCCAGGGCAGTGGGCACAGCCCCAAGGCTGCCAGAGCTCCAGGAGCGTTTGGACAACGCTCTGAGGGACAGGGGGGGATTGTTGGGGTGTCCTGGGCAGGGCCAGGACTGGATGATCCCTGTGGGTCCCTCCCAGCTCAGGATACTCTGTGATTCTGTGGCTCAGGTACCCTGACAGCTGGCAAAGAGCCGCAGGCTTCGCACCAGGCTGCAGGGGCAGAGCAAACCAAAATCCCGGGCAGCCTGACGGGCTGTTGGGCCCCAGCCAGAGAACATCAGAGCCATCGAGAAAATCCTCGTTCTCCTCCGTGCTCCCAGAGCCACAGGCACCTCCGCAGGTCCCTCCCTGGCCGTTGCCTCCCGCTGCCTACAGAGGGAGCGGAGAGCGGCTGACACGGCGGCCAAAGGGAACGGCCGCGAAGTGGAGCCCACACGGCGCAGAAAGTCACGCAAGGGTGTTAAGCAGTTCTGTGAGGTCCTTCGCAAAGGTACTACCTGGTAATAAGCACATCTGGGTCTGTCCAGAGCGATATCCTGTCTCCAACGGTGTCCATAAGCAAACGCTGAGGGAAGAGGCAGCACAGAATACCCCTTGGCAAGTCCCTCTGCTTCAACTCTCAGCCCCCAGAATATCCCCAGCCTGTCATAATATTTCCTTTGGTGATGCTCAAAACATCTCCCAGGTACTTGCTCAGCCAGCTTTTATCTCCCCTATAGCTTTCTGCAGCCCCAACATCCTCGAGCACGACTCCTGTGGATGCAGTGCCCATTCCCAGGATCCTGCTCTGTGTGCACACAGCTCCTCATGGCCAACCCCAGCCCCAGCAGTGCTGGAAGGGGCAGGGAGCAGCCAGTTCCTATCCAGCGGCTTGGTGCCACTTCAGATCCTGTAAACATCCAGGATCTGCTCTGCATCATCTGTCCAGGCTGAAGAATGCCAGCCTGCTCAGCCGTTCTTGCCGTGGTAGCTCTGCTCTGCTTTCAGTCATCTGTCACCGGCCCAAGGTCTGTGTATCCTCTCCAAGAACCACAGAATTGCTGAGGTCAGAAAAGGCCTTTAAGATCACCAAGTCCAGCATCACCACCACGGTCCCCACTAACCCACGTCCCCAAGTGCTATATCCATGCACTGCTTGAACACTTCCAGGGACAGGGACTCCCCCACTACCCTGGGCAGCTTTTATATCCCTCCCTGGGAAGAACTGCCTCAAAGACAAGAGCGACAGAACTGCACGGCATCTGCATCCTGAGCACAGGCAAATCACTGCCATTCCATAGAAGAGCAGCATCATGTTCCCTGTCCTCTATTTTTGTCCCTAATGTCCAGGATTTTATAAGCTACTGCTCTGCAACATCACAAGCTCCAATACTTTGCTCTGCGTGGTGATGGCCAGCACAGCTGCTTATCTTCATAGTGCCACTTGTTCCCACGGTCAGTTATTTGACTGTAGAGGTGAAGTTAATAGCAACAAAGTTCCTTTTCCCAGCTTCAGCATCTATAAAATGGAAAGTCACGGGCAAAAAGTTCCATTTAAATCAAAAAGTTTTAAAATTAGAAGCTATTATGGCTTTCGTAATTCCAAGCATTGATTTTCAGTCAGTGAGAGGAGCCCTGAAGGCACAAACAAGAATCACCACACCTTGTAAAGAGACTTCAAAAGGTACTGAATTCATAATCTCAGAAGCACTGTGCTAAGGTGTTTAACCCCTGACAGCCATCCTCCCCAGAAACAGGATTCTGTCATTCGAAAAAAGAGGGAGATCTACATTGGGGGTTTGACTTCAGTTTACTACCAGACTCAGTTCTTCAAACAAACCAAACCTTGAAGTGCAAGCATCCTCTAGAGAGCAAGGGAACACTTAAAAAATAATGTAATGCAGAGGTGAAGCTCTTGTCACTTTGATAAAACAGAAACTATTTAATCCCATTGTGGTTTTTTCCCCTCCCTTTTACACAGCACTGTTCTTAAAAACTGTTTTAGAGCTTTATCTCAGAGGCAGGGAAGCAGCAAACACAAAAACACTGAGTGCATGAGCTTGGCCCATAAAGTAGGGATAAATCTTTCTTTATTGCTGTCAGGTGGATCCTGGAGCACTGTGATTGCACAGGATACTGACTTTCCTCAGGGGCTCACTGCTCACCTGGTCCAGCCTGCACTGAACCTTTGCCCACAGCTCATTGTCCAGGCAGGAACAGCCACTGTACTGATGGGGCAAATCAAACACTTTTAGGTATAGACAGTCATGCCCTTCTCCACAGGTTGTGGGTAACTTTTTGTTGATGTCAGTGACGTTTGTGAAGATCAGGCCATGAATGTATAGTTTAATGATGAGATTAAACAAGGACTCTCTTAGAATTTTGAAATATATTCTTGAAGTATGAAGACACAGTGATTGAAGTCTGAGAACACAGTGATTCTGTGGTGCTTTATGGTTCCATAGTGGTGATAAGAGACACTTCAGGCTTGTTCAAGTGTCACAAACGTTCAACTCAACTAATTACATCACGAACCACAGGAGATCCCATAGACATCATGGTGCTCATATTGCCACATTTTCTGTATTTAAGACGATGAAGAATACACAAACCTGTGGCAGTGAAAGGGAACCATTCATGCCACATATATTAAAAACACAGAGCACTGTAATTATTGTCCATCCCCACCATCTCATGGCCCAGGCTGGCAGCAGTATGGCTGGACTGCCCTTGTTGCTGTGTGGAAACTGAATTTGTGGTTTCACAAGGCAGTTACATCACTGTGGGTATTTAACTCATATATAAACAAGTCGGCAAATCTATTTTCATGTGTTTGGTTTTGTGTCAATAAACCACAGACTCATAGACTGGATTGGGCTGGAAGGGACCTCAAAGCCCATCCAGTGCCACCCCCTGCCATGGGCAGGGACACCTTCCACCAGCCCAGGTGGCTCCAAGCCCCATCCAACCTGGCCTTGGGCACTTCCAGGGATCCAGGGGCAGCCACAGCTGCTCTGGGCAGCCTGTGCCAGGGCCTCCCCACCCTCACAGGCAGGAATTCCTTCCCAATATCCCATCTCTCCCTGCCCTCTGGCACTGGGAAGCCATTCCCTGTGTCCTGTCCCTCTATCCCTTGTCCCCAGTCCCTCTCCAGCTCTCCTGGAGCCCCTTTAGGCCCTGCAAGGGGCTCTCAGGTCTCCCTGGAGCCTTCTCTTCTCCAGGAGAACCCCCCCAGCTCTCCCAGCCTGGCTCCAGAGCAGAGGGGCTCCAGCCCTGGCAGCATCTCCGTGGCCTCCTCTGGACTCTCTCCAGCAGCTCCACGTCCCTGTGCTGTTGTTCCCCAGGGCTGGGGCAGCTCTGCAGGGGGGTCTCACCTGAGGGGGCAGAGGGGCAGAATCCCCCCCTCCTCTGCTGCCCACACTGTGGGATCAGCCCAGGGCACAGGGGGGTTTCAGTGCCAGCACACAGGGCCAAGCAAGTCGAGCCTCTCATCCTCCAACACCCCCAAGTCTTTCGCCCCAGGGCTGCTCTCAATCCCTTTGCCCAGGCTGTGTTTGTGCTTGGAATACTTGATCTCAAACTAACAATATGCTCTCAAACAATGTCCTTAAAGCACACAACAGGCTTTTCATAACTCACTCTACCAGTTCATACATGGACACCTGAGTGGTAGGTTGTGCCAAACATTCCAAAATACAGAAAAGATAGGTGCTTTTCCAAAGCCTTTATGGAAACAAAAAAAGTAAGTCGATCAGTGTGTTTACAGTGCATTTTACTGCTGCTTAACAACATCCTGGAACTTCAAGGCCTGGAAGGTGATGAGAGTGTTAAAGGAACTAGAGGTCTGGGACTGGGTTACAGGAAACCCGGGGCTGAGGCAGTGAGACGAGCATCAGGATTGGAGATTACAAAAGTCATTATCAAAACTTCAAGATTTTAATTGCAATCGAAAGTTAACAGCTCACTGGACAGACAGAACTACGCTACAAATTCATTCACACCCAGAATAAAACTGCACACAACCACAAGCCTCATAAATCATGAGCTTGGAATAACGATGACTTCTGGCAACCAGGAAAGCTTCTGGCTTGCTTCCTTACATTTTGCTGTTTGTCTGTTAAAATCTTTTACCCACTGCTAAATTTTAAAGGAGATGCTTTTAGAAACTAGGCTAATAGATAGTGACTGCTGCACAACAAACACTGTGGGGGAACACATACAGAGGCCATTAATGCATAAAGGAAAAGGGAAGTCAAAGAGAGAGTAAGGGAAAAATCAGCTTCAACAACAGCTTGTAATAACTGCACATTTAAATGGAATGAAAACATTTCCACATCCGTCCGCAAATGATTAAGTGTGGCTGGTTTAATTGGAGCAGCCCAGTGCAGAGAAACCTGAACCAACATGTTCCACAGCCAACAGGCTGCTGGCAGCAGCACCTTGTGCTGCCTCAGAGCTCTGCACGGTGTCTTCTGCATCAGCCTGAGAGAATCCATAGAAGTTCTCTTACAGATCACTGGAAATATAAATGGGGGTGATCTTTCTGCAGTGCAAGGAGAGACAAGCATGCCCTAGATGACATAATTCACCTCACAAGTGAAACAACAGCATAGACAGAATGAAAACAGCAGCTACAGGTAACCACAGGTAAGGTGACTCCTGAGGGGGTGAAGTGGGAAGGGTGAGTTGAGTCCATCCTCCTGCAAACAGCCAGGAGAAGGGGACACCAAAGAAGACAGATTGGTCCAGACAGGTGGACTTTATTCCTCCTCTGGGGAGGGAATGACCCTTGGAACAAAGACAAAAGCACCAAGGACGGGGTAGCAGGAAGAGTGAGGAGAGCACAAGGGAACAGCAAGGAAAGGAAAACCAGACTTATCCAGAAGAATGATGACAGTGGAGAAATACAGGGAGCCCTACAGTCTGGGTGATGAGGACACAAACCCAAAGATGGGGGACCGAGAAGTGTCTGTAAGCAAAGACTTGGGGCATGTGCTGAGAGAGGTGGGGGCAAACCAGAGCATAATGGAATCCAGGGGCTGAGAGCCTGAGGAGAACAAGTCACAGGAGGGTGAAGGTGGTCTCTTAATGGTGAGGAGAAATCTGAGAGCAACATGAGACCCTGAAGGAGGGAAAGACATCCAACACTGATGGGGCAGGGAGGGATGGCTGTAGGGGCCAGGGAACATTTCCACAGGGAGGTCACAGACCCATGGAATGGTTTAGGTTGGAAGGGACATTAAAGCCCATCCAGTCCCACCCCTTGCCATGGGCAGGGACACCTTCCACTAGCCCAGGTGGCTCCAAGCCCTGTCCAACCTGGGGATCTTTTGTGTTGATCTGTGGGATCCCCAATCCCAGGGATCCAGGGGCAGCCACAGCTGCTCTGGGCAACCTGTGCCAGGGCCTGCCCACCCTCACAGCCAGGAATTCCTTCCCAATATCCCATCTCTCCCTGCCCTCTGGCAGTGGGAAGCCATTCCCTGTGTCCTGTCCCTCCATCCCTCGTCCCCAGTCCCTCTCCAGCTCTCCTGGAGCCCCTTTAGGCCCTGGAAGGGGCTCTCAGGTCTCCCTGGAGCCTTCTCTTCTCCAGGTGAACCCCCCCAGCTCTCTCATACTCAACAAGGACGGGAAACCACGTCAGTGGCAGCTGCCCAGGACGGTGCAGCACCGCAGTAGCTCCGTACCGGGGTCAGAGGCGCGGGCGGGCCGGTGGGGCCGGGCAGGGGTGCCCGGAATGTCCCGAAAGAGCTCCACTCAGCGCGGCCTGTGCCGCCATTTCGCCCTGAGGGCCCGGGGGGCGGGGCAGGGCGGGGGCGGGGCCATGGCCGGTCCCGCCCCCCGGCTCTGCCGCTCGCAGCCGCCATTTCACACCGGCCCGCGGGCGGCGGGCGCTGCCGGGGCTGGGCGTGCGGCACCGCGCGGCGTGAGGGGACAGCGGGAGCGGCGTTACCGGCAATGAACGGGGCTGTTCGCCGGGGCCTCGCGGAGCCGGCTCTGTCCTGTGGGAGTGTGCCCATGGGCGGCCGCTCCCGGCTGTGAACCGGGAGAGCGCTGAGGCGGCTCCTGGAGCCTCCTGTCCTCTGTTCGGGGTCTGCGCCGTTAGGAAGCTCAGCATCCATCCATCCATCCCATCTCTCCTGTAACCTGGGGTTCCTGACTGAGGGCACTTGGCTGGCTCAGCTGGAGCAGAGGAGACTGAGGGGAGACTCCTCGGGGGCTGCAGCTCCTCCCGAGGGCAGGCGGAGGGGCAGGCGCTGAGCTCTGCTCTGGGACCAGGGACAGGAGCCAGGGAAGGGCTGGAGCTGTGCCAGGGGGGTTGGGATGGATCTCAGGGAAAGGTTCTTCCCCCAGAGGGTGGTGGGCACTGCCCAGGCTCCCCAGGGCAGGGGCACGGCCCCAAGGCTGCCAGAGCTCCAGGAGCATTTGGACAACGCTCTGAGGGCCAGGGGGGGATTGTTGGGGTGTCCTGGGCAGGGCCAGGAGTTGGACTGGATGATCCCTGTGGGTCCCTTCCAGCTCAGGACATTGTGATTTTATGATTCCGTGTTTATTCACAGACAGGTACAACTGTTTATCCTTGTGGCTGCCGCTTCAGTCAGTCACTTTACGCTGCTCAATTCCCTGCCATGTCAGAACCACACTCACCAAGAGCTCCTGGCAATACCTTGCTTGCACTGAGCTTTTTTCATGTTTCAACATACCTCGAGAAATGGCACAACTGAACATACCTGTGAAGAGAGAGCCTAATGCCATTTGTGTTGCATCATCTTGAAGCAATTTTTGGCTTCATGTTACTAAAATTCCACATTTACATTAAATCCTCAGGCTGATGTTTTCATTTTGAACTGAAACATTATAACGGACTGTGAATATATGTTAGCAAAACAAGATCATTCCTTTAAAAGCAGTTTCATAGGACAATACCTTCTAATTGTTGTCACAGCTTAAATAACAGTGTTACGATGAGAAATGAAACTCTGAGGTTGCAAGTGTGCTGTTAAAAGATAAAGGCATCAACGCTCTGTGCAATGTTGTCTTGTGCCCATGGCCTCAAGTTTTGGAGATCTGAGACCCATCTGATGTCCAAGAATGGTATTGTTATTTAAAAGCTGGGTGATACAAGGAAAACACCAAATTTGCAGTAATAAAAAGTTGCCACTGATGTGAATGACAATATTGTGATATTGGGGCTGGCAGGATGAGCAAATAACAGATGCACAAATGTCTTTAATGTTTTATGAGGCCTTGAAGGATATTTCCAGACCTGTCAGGCTTGGAGTTTTCATGTGAGGATTCCCCATCTGGCACTGAGAGCTATGATAGAGAGGAACAGAAAATGGCAATGTTTCTAACGTGATTCTTAATCATGAATATCCTGAGTGGGCTCTTCATGATGCAGGATCTGTGTCACACTGTGCCCTTTGGATGTGGCAGAGGCTGGGCTGTTCCTGGACATCATGTGTGGAAGATCAGGAGCCCGTAAACAGTCCAGTATAATGGGCCCACTTGAAGGGGGTTCTGGAACAAATTTCTGGGCAGATAAACCAGAAACCATCACTGCAGCCATGCTGGGAATTTACTACACAAGGTCTTGCCAGAGGCCATGTCAGGATAGGCAGAGAAAAGGTATTTGCATTTTCATTGTGTGATTTCCCACACGTTTCAGTGTAATTACAAGGTACAGAATATTTCCATACCTGTGCAGGGAAATGCCAAGGAACTCCTGTTCTGCTGCTCTGTTGCAAGTTCCCACTCTTCAGGTGAGACTTCACAGTTTTAGACTAGAGAAAGAAGGTAGAGAAGGAGAAATTTGATTTTCAGGTATGTTACTCAACTAAGTCAAACTCAAATCATGAGTTGTCTGTGAATGAAAAGGGACATCACATATTATAATGCAGCAATATTCTTTTTTTTTTTTTCCCCCACACAGTTGTGTACTTGATATAGGATATACAGACCTGAAGCTTTCATGTCACACACCAAGAGCGCTGCTCTGTATTGCAGAGCCATTACTCTGGTAACGGCAAAAAGACATTTGTTTCCTGCAGAATAATGAGATTTTACATTCACAGATAATTTGTGTGCAGTGGAGTAGGTGCAGATAGAAAAAGGAATGCCCTTGCCTACAAAAAGCGACAATGGAAGAGGGAAAACTTTTGGGCAGCCGGTTCCTTGCAGGTCACTGCAGGATTTCTCAGAGCACAGGGGAGTGCTGGCCACCAGTTTTTTGGCAGATAACTCGCACCTCATTTACACAGGAACCATTTAATCTCCGAACCAGTCACGGCATTCCCGTGGGTTGCTGCCTGGGTTTTTCCGGCTGGCGCTGGCCCCGGGCACGGGAAGGCTCCGGGTACCGGGAGCGCTGGGCACGGCGGGCTGCCGCGCTCCACCTTCCACCCGAGCCCGGCCTCAGACAGCGGGCATCACTCTGTCCCTGTCCCGGAGCCCGGCCTGGCGCTCCGGAGCCACGTTCTCCTCGGGGCTCCTGCCCACGGGCCCCGCGGCCGGGGCGCACCGGCCCTTCCCGAGGCCCCGAGCCGGCACGGGGGGATCGCTCTGGTCCTGCTGCCGGCCATGCCCAGCCTGCGCTGCCGCCCGTGCGGAGCTGCCCCGGGCCCATTGCCCGGGCCCACGGCCCTCCCGTCCGTCCCCGCCATCGCCCCGGCCCGGCCCCGCTCCCCGCGCCCCCCCCACCGCGCTGCAGGCCCCGCCCCCGGCCGGCTTTGATGGGCGTGCGGCGGGGCCAATGGCGCGTGGGGCACGTGAGCGCGGCGGCCAATGGGTGTCGGCGGGCGGCGCGGGGGCGGGGCCGCGGCGCTGGAGCGGCTCGTTGTGCGCTGCGGACCGATCGCCTCCCGCTCCCGGGCCCGGCCGCCGCCGCCGCAGGTGAGGCCGCGCAGGGCGCGCGGGGCCGCGCCTGCCCCGCCCCGCCCCGGCAGTGCCCGCGGGGCCGACCCCGGCAGGGGCGGGCGGCGGAGCCGGCGGCGGCCGGGCTGAGGCCTGGGCCTGGCGGGGCGGCCCGGGCCTGCGGGGGAGGGCCGCGGGCAGCGCGGGCCCGGGGCGGCAGGTGCCGCGGGCCTGCAGGCCTCGCGGGGCCCGGATGGGGCGCGGGCGGGGAGCGGGGCCCGGGGCCGCCGCGCTGGCGGCGGGAAGGCCGCGGGGCCGCGGTGCGCTGCGGGGCCGCGCCGTGTCTCGGGGCCTTTCTCCGTCCGGTTAATGGCCTCGCCTTGCGTGTTTATTTTTCTCGTGTCTGCGCCGGCACAGCTTTTAAATCTCCCACGTCGTCTGGGACTGGCACGGGCTCGCTGAGCGGCGGTGTCCGAGGGTCGGTGCCGGCGCGGTGGGTGCCGGCCGGGGTCGGTGCTGGCGGCGGGGCCGCGATGCTGTGCCGGGCGCTCGGCGGTGCGGGAACCCGGCCCGGCTGAGGGGGCACCCGCTGCTCTTGGTGCTTCCTCGGAGCAGAGCGCTGGGCCTGGATTTGGGGTGGGAGCGGCAGGACGGCGCTGGGGTCCCCGCAGCGCAGCACACGTGTGGGCCGGAGCTGCTGCCGTGCTCGGCACTGCCGGGAGAGCTGAGCCGGAGCTGGGCACGGGGCTGTGTCCCACACCCTCTGCAGGTTTGCTGCGTGAGGATTTGCGGTGGGATCCTGTGATCCACTTAATGAGACATCTGTGGAAAACAAAAGAGGAAAGAGATGGGGAACGGCAGAGGTTAATTCCGTTTATTAATTGCTGTTGTTGTTGACGTTTGATCAGTTTTTGAAATGCTCCGTATTTCTGTTCTTTTTACTCCCTGCTTGTGGCTGGTGGCTGCTCATATTGCTCGGCTCTCACCTCTTCATCAGCTCCTCTTTCCCTGTGCTCCTGTTTTAACCACTTTTCTTTCTAGAGCAGTGTGAACAGTTGTCTTCTGTTGTTGACTTGTGCATCCCCCATTACAGCTGGGACGATGCTCATATTCCATAGGCTTTATCCAGCCCTTAGGGTTGATGGGGTTTCTTGGGTTCCTGTTGACTCGTGGGTTATGTCAGTGTGTGTGATGGATAAGAAAGTCGAGTCCTGATCCAGTAAGTCTGTGCAGCCTGCGGTGTTACTGTGAGTGCCCTGGTTTTTGTTGTGAAGCAGAGTAACTCAGTGTACAGTGATCCTAATGCTCCTGGTGGTTTCCATGATTCAGAGCACTCGGGGGTCTGGAGTTACAGCTGTGACTGCACTGGGCTCTCCCCAGGCTTGACTGGAATACGAACAGGAGCATCTTGAGCTGGAGCGATTGTTAGGTGTATTGTACAGTGAGTTTATAGCCCTGCTGTGGTTCTGCAGGACCAGATGAACATGGATACGCTGCTTTCCTCGGGGAGTTGTCTTGTGCAGTGCCACGTTTGTGGGAACAGCAGCAGTAAGCACAGCCTGAATGGAAATGTGAATGTTATATGTAGCATCTTACTCAAATAAATATTATTTTTTGAACATTGGTACTGAAATAAACTTAATGTGAAATGTGCTTTATGCTCTGAATTAAAGCACTTCATTTTCTCTCTGGTTCTTACATGTTCTGTCACTTTTCTTTTTCTGGCAAAAACCCTCCTTGTCTTGACCCTGAGACATGTAATGTTACTTTCAGAATCCATCTCTTTAAACTCTTGTTCCAGCCTATTTTTTTCCTGGAGCTGTGGTCTGTGAGCCCTCTGAATTGATTGCAGCCCAGTGTTATTGGCTGCCACACGTGAAGGCTGTGAAGCTGGTAGAGTTTTAGTTACAGAGAGCTCAAACTTTCTGTGTTTGCAGACTTCAAGA